ATCGAGCAAAACTCAAAAAGCAAACGTTTCTACTCACAAATAACCCAAATATCCATACCTACATTAATATCAACCAATATTTTTTTTGCTCCCACCTTTTTTTTTTCCTTTGCTTCCTCAAGCCGCAGGAGCATAGTGTCCGCAAACAAATTCGCTTCCAGTATAATCACTTCCCATAAATTCTTTTACAAGTAGTCTTTTCAGACGCTCGCAACTACTCCTACACCCGTAACTAGCTGCCTTCTCAAACCAGTATGTTGCGCCACGAAGATCAATTTCACAACCAGCTCCCCTTTCCATAGCATTTGCCAAATGATACATTGCCGAAACGTGATCTTGCTCAGCGGCCAAGCGGAAGAAATGCACAGCCATTTCCTCATCTTTACTGCATCCGATTCCCAGCTGTAGACATACACCAAGCTTATCCTGTGCTCGGGCATGATTCTGAGCAGCAGCAGCCCGATACCATGTGACTGCTTTTACATCGTCCTTGTCGACGCCGATTCCATTCGCATAGCAGAATCCGAGATTACACTGAGCCCAGGGATTCTGCGACCGAGCAGACAAGTCATACCAATAGACGGCTTTTCTCTCGTCCTTGTCGACACCTAGACCTTCTTCATAACAGTACCCGAGAGAATTCTGCGCGAGAGCATTGCCTTGCTCGGCCGCTGCCGTAAACCACTTGACGGCTTCTCTTTCATTTTTTCTACGCCAATGCCGTTCCGGAAGCAATATCCGAGACTGAGTTGAGCGGGTGCGTGTTGTTCTTCGGCAGACATAAAGTACCAATACACTGCTTCTTCTTCGTTCACGTTGACGCCGATACCGTTCTGATAACAATATCCGAGAGAATGATAGGCAAACATGTTTCCGCGCTCGGCAGAACTGGTATACCATTGCACGGCTTTGGCTTCATCTTTGGGCACTCCGATACCGTTCTGATAACAAAAACCGAGATTATGTTGTGCCCGAGCATGTCCTTGGGATGCCGCCTTCATGTACCAACGCGCGCCTTCGACATCGTCTTTTGGTACGCCTATGCCATTTTGGTAACAGTATCCGAGATTGCACTCGGCCCAAGGGTATCCCTGTTCGGCTGATTTGCGATACCATTTAGCAGCTTCAGCGGAATCCTGTTCGACACCGATACCATCTTCGTAGCAATAGCCGAGCGAATTCTGAGCGAAAGCGTTTCCTTGTTCGGCAGATAGTCGATACCATTTCACAGCCTCGACCACGTCTTTTTCCACGCCGATACCATCTTCGTAACAATAACCGACGTTATAGATTGCGACCGATTCTCCTTGTTCGGCAGCCTTGCGATACCACTTCATCGCCTCGAATTCGTCTTTCTCGACACCAAATCCTTCACCGTAACAAAAGCCGAGTATTCCCTGTCCGCGCGGATGACCCTGCTCTGCTGACTTTTTGTACCATTTGAAGGCTTCGAGTTCGTTCTTTTCAACGCCGACGCCATCGTGAAAGCAAACTCCGAGCGAATACTGGGCGGCGGGGTGATTTTCCTTTTCTGCGGCAGTTTGCAACCATGAAATCGCGTGACGGCCTTGATCTTTGACTTTTTGCTGCCACTTTTCAGCTTCTGTACGGTCTATTCTTACGGAAGGTCGTCCGTATTTGCGTAAAAAGGCCAGGCGCGCTTGAGCTAGACCGTTGCCGCGTTCGGCAGCAGAGATATAGTGTTGTTCGGCTTGTTTAAAGTCTTTTTCGATACCGAGACCAAATTCGTAGCAGAAAGCAAGTACTCCCTGAGCTTGTGGGTGATGCAAGTCGGCTGCGCGAGTAAAGTAATTGAAGGCCCTTTTCTCATCCTTTTGCTCACCGCCTCTACCAAACAAGTACTTTTCACCCTGTCGGTAAAAGTAATGAGCATCTTGGTCAATGTATTTACTGACATTGTTGTTATTATGTGTATTGTTATTGTGGATGCCACTTTTGCTATTGTTCCTACTGATGCTTTTACTGCTGTTGATGCTATTGATGCTGTTGATGTTGCTAGTGTTGTTATTTGTGTTGGTGTAATGGTGGTGACAGCGCTTGTTTAGCTTGGAAACAAACTTTCTTCCGCGATGCAAAAATTGGGCTGCCGTTTGTGATAGAGGATGTACTGCCATTGATATCTTTTTTGGGGGGGGAGAGAAAGCAACGAAAGCAAATGTGTGTACTGAAGGGGAGTGCGTTGAGTTGGGGATGGGGAGGTGATACTTTGATTTTTTTTTTCGAGATTGCCTAAATGTAGTGATTTTTTGCAAGTGGGGAGGGGGATGCGAGCTTTTTTGTCGTTGATTTCGGGTATTAGCTTATCGTGATTTCAAATGTCGATAGTCTTGTGGGAAATTAAAGCAATATCGTATGTTATTGCGAGAGGATCGATTAGAAGATGATATGATTTTCTATGGTTGTATTGTTTTCTATGTAATCTATGATGAAAAAGATATGTTCTATGCTTGATTTCATAAAGACAAGCATGGAAAAAGAATAGAATGAACGATTAAATGTTATTACAATGACACGGCGATTCGTTGCTGGGAGAATCTATGCAATCAAACTATAAAAATATGTATTATGGATCGTTATCTTGCGTCCTGCTGTGTTACCTCAGTTACTTTTTACCTAGAGAGCCAAGTTGAATGTGTACCAGGAATTGACTGAGTCGAGACGGGGAATAGAGAGGTATTTGAGGGTGTTGGGTAGAAGAGGAAAGACAAGAAAGCAAAAAAGATTTAATTAGTTGTTCTGACATGAAGGAATCGCAACTCGAAATGGCCAAGACTTTACCTCTAGCAAAGATAGTTGTATGTCAACTGTGTAAAGTGATAACGATATTAGAGTAGTCGTGAGAGTGTGAGAAGCTGCAAGTATTATTCGAAGAGTTATTTAAGGGTTATTATTATTTTCAAAGCAAGGTTTATTTTTTTTTCGATAGTTTGGATTTGGGTTGGGTTGGGTTGGTTGATATTAATGTAGGTATGGATATTTGGGTTATTTGTGAGTAGAAACGTTTGCTTTTTGAGTTTTGCTCGAT